ATTTGTTTTGCCACTTAACTATAATCAGAGCATAACTAGAGCTGGAAACAATATTTTCTAGTTTTTATTGCATTTAATAACAAATTTGGGATTTAACACTTTGAAAAAAAATATCAATTTCTTTATGGATCAAAATAGAGATAGGTCTGCTCCTTATAAGACTTAACTTAAAACTCGAACTTATAAATTTAACTTCGATTGGGAGAATGAACTCGATTGATAAATTGAGAGTGTTCAAAATAAGAGCACTGGGCATCCAGATCTAGGTTTGAGCTGCGTCTGCAATTTTACAGAATTGGGGGATAAATGCTTTTTGGAGTTTGGGGACATTTGTTTATAACGCAAGAGGATGTTTACATTAATTGGTCACTCGTGGAAGCCGATAATTTGGGGTTCTTTCATTTGTTTATAACTCTTGGGACCCGATGATTTTGGGTGTGACAAATGCGTAGTGTAAATATATTTATGTGGTAGATATGTGGGTGTAGGTATATAGGTAGGTATATAGGTAAGGTATATAGGTAAGTCATGATACACATAAAGACTTAAACAACTTTTATCAATTAAAATAGGCTCTATTATTACAATTACAGTTAAGTAAGCTCTATTTATCAGTTGAGAATTATTAATACTCAATAAGGTATAGTAAGCTGAACAACAAATTATTAGATGTACAAAAATTTACTGTAAAATTTGGTTGATTCATACAACAACAAAAACGTTCAGTGTACTTACAGTTTTTTTTGTGAAATTTGTAACCTTGTAACTTTTGTTCCAATTTAAACCCCAATTAACTGCAGTATACAACCCAGAAACCATTTCCCAGAATCACAGAATTTTGTACAGATCTGACACATTTCGGGTGTTAACAAATTGAGTTTGCCTCCGACCCCGGGCCAAAATGGCCATTGTAATTATTCACGCCGCGATTCCCGGCAGAAAAAAGATGGGGAATTGGGGGACGTGGTGTCAGTGGCACCCTAAAATGCAGGACTCGACACCACCTGACAGCCACTCTACGTGGAGTGCTTGTCGGATTTTAAAAATAATAACAAAACGAATACTTATTGCGAGCAGAAAGTGACATAAAAAAGAAGACAGCCAAAATCATGTATGCAAAAGAAAGGCGAAAAAGGAAAATGGTCACATGACATGGCAGTGGGTGGTGGTGGGCGGAAAGCTGGCAAGGATGACAGGACACTTTTGCAAGTGTCAGTTAAATGAAACACCCGATCCACACAACAATGGCCAGCTCCTGTGCTACGTGGTTCGCTTCTGACTTCCCGCTTGGTTCCCAAAAACTTAAATGGTGTCAAGGCTGATGAGTTTGTTTCTCTCCACCACTTTCACACAAGGAAAACTTCAGGACAAGTCAAAGTTCGGTCGCCCGGCACAAGTTGAACAAATTCAATAGACAACAGTAAAGTGAGAGCGAGTGAGTAAAAACCGTTTTGTGGCTGCCGATGATGGGGAGATGCACCGAAAAAAATAGGGTGCTTTATTATAGTATCGTCAATGATGTGGTGTTTTATTATAATATCTTCAATGACTATCATTAAAATAAAGGAATTAGGATGACTTATATTACTAAAATACTCAAAATGTGTTAAAATATTGTCTTTTTTAAGTAGTTTGTTTGTAAATTTCTCATTCTAGAATTTGCAATTTTATAAATATTTTGTAATATAAATTAGCTAGTGTAAATTGACTCTTATAATTTGATAGTTAAATATAAACTTTTTTAAAAGAAAAAGAAATGGGTAATAAGCGTGTATATTATAAACACTTTTTATATGTTTAAAATATTTATTAAAAAGCTATACAGGAGGATTGGAAGGTTTCCTTGTATTATTTTATATTTTTAAAAATTAGAAACATTTTTTTTTCTGTGTATTGTGTTTGCTTCCCGAACTCCATCTTCTCCATCACCCTTGTCACGACCCGTTGACAGCGCAAATATGCAAAGTCAAGTGGCAATTTATCATGCTCTGCACTGCGTCCGCCCTCCGGGCAGCGCGAGAGTTAAAGGTGGCCGCCCAACCGCCGCGTGGGGCACTCTGGGGTTAAGTGGCAAACTAAATTGAATCGCCAGTGCCGAACCATGCGTGGGCATGTATCTACGCCTACAACTAACACCCTTTGGCCCTTATTTCTTCTCCCCACTTACACTACTGCACATTGGATGAAGTGTGATTCTCATGCAGATTTTTATTTAGGTAAAATTTTTGCCAAATTTCCAAAACAAATAATTTTTATTCTTTTTCGCTCTAGATAGTTAAATCGAAATATATTTTTTTGGGCTCTGAAAGTATGCTATAAAATGTATATAAAATATATCAATTGGTTATCTAAAGATAAAAAGTCCTAATATTTTTAAAGCTCAATGTTAAATAATAATCTAATATTTTGAAAGTCATTACTGTATTAATTAGTGAATAAATCACTTTTTTGACTTTGCCCAAAAATAATTTAACATTCAACACCCAAGAGCCAAAAATAATAAATTTGTAATTGTGCAGATGGCAAAGCCTACCAGATAATTGTTATAAATTCCCCCGACATTATCTACAATGGGTCGAGTGTCCGCTGTTTGTTGTCGGCTCGTTTTGCATTAAAATCGATGCGACGCTGACCTTTCCCTCAATTAAAAGTGCACACCCACCCGCAGAGGACGGTGCACAGTGCCGTCCGAAAGTAATGGCACGCTTTTTCAGCTGGGGCGTTGCTTTCGACACTTTACCTCATTAGCAGCAGAGGCAACAGCGTCCAGCCTGCCGCTTGTATAATTAATGATTGCCTCCGCTGCAGGCTTCTCATTGATTTTAATTTGTGGAATTTACTGGGTAAATATGATAAATTCGAGAAGGACAGAGGTCTTTCTGGCCGGGATGTTAGATGAAAGCAGCACTTAGCAAAGTAATTAACCAGCCCGATTTAGCATCGGTTTGCTGCGAGCTCTGTCACCCTCGAAGCCAGTTGGTCAAATCGAGGCAGTTGGTCACTTGACAATCCCCGGGGCGGAAGTGCCCCACAACCGCAATGCAACTCGACCCCACCGTCTCCGGAAATTCACCCTGCCGTTGACAAGCCTCAAGAGATCCGACCAAAGACACTCGTCCCCGTCACTAGGTGACCGCAGCAACAGAAACAGCAACGGGCAATGGAAATATGGAGATGTGTCGGGTGGTGGAGTGGTCGGGTGGTGGGCCAAAGGATGCGATGGGATGACACTGGCGGCGAAAGGCGGAGTAATATGCGTAATTAAACAAAACCGCAAGTGGGGCACAGCAGCAGAAATAAACGGAGTCAGGCGCAAAAGGATCCAGTTACCAGGGATAAAAGCAACTGCAAATGCAGCTTTATACTCGAAAGAAGGACAAAGTGGGGTAATGAATGACGAATTTTGGATTCACTATGTTAAGGGGTTTCTTTGTTAGATTCCAGTAAAAAAAATATTAAACAAAATTTTTTATTTTGTGAAAGTGGATTTAGCTTAATTAAAAAAATAAGTCATATTATAGATTAACCATCAACGAATAAGAAATGACAGGATTAATAAATATTTTTTATGTTAAATGTATATATTTTTTACAAAGATTACATATTCATTGAAAATGTGTTTATATAGCTTACAAAACCTTTTGTTTATTTTTAAGTATTCAATATATGTTCACGAACGTTGTTTAGATTCGTCTTGGATTCGTTTTTCCAAAACATTTAGACAAGAAAATTAATTTTTACACAACATTTTGTAAGTTTAAATACTCAAATAGCTAAAATCATTGTTTGCCCTTCGTATATTGCCCCACAAAGAGCCACACAAATTGTTGATACCCTTCGGCGAGAGATGTCAGCAGGCTTAAATTAAATATTTGCAAGGACCAAAGTGGAGTGGGGGGAACAAGGAGGAAAAGGACGAGTCGTGGCTGGATGGAAATCAAAGAAAGTCGAGAGACAGAAGAGCCGAAAACGCAGTGCCACATAAATGTGGAGCATGCAGATTGAAGTGTCGGCCAGAGACGAGGACCATGGCAAATGGTCCCATGGAAATCAAAGGCATGTGGCAGGCCATGGAAATGCCATTCAAGAGGGACTTAACACCCCCTCAGACAGCTTTTAGGCAGTGGAAATTGATCGAAAGACTCAGAGCAAACATCGTTGACTGACATCGACTTCAAAAAAACAGTTGCAAAAGGGCTGCCAAGCTGCGAGATACACTCGTATCTTCGAGATACTTATAAGCCCAGCGAAATGTGCAACAATGTGCCACCATCGATTTTCTATTAGCCACGAGACACTTGAGCTAGAAAACTAAATACCGAAAGCAAATATTGATAAATACGTAACGACATGAAGAGGAAGAAGACGACCGGGCTGCAGAGGAACAAAAACAACCACATTATGAATAAAACTGAAGCTCGTAACTGTCCGACGGCGAGCCAAGAACATAATAAACGCTGTCCATGAGGCCGAAAATAAAACGCAGAACGTAACTCGGAAGAGGGCACCTCACTATCCCCCTATCCCCCCTATAGAACCACAACCAATGTCACACTGAAACAAAACACGAGGTCATTACTCTTATTAAAAAAACATTAATAGGTTGAATTAACGTATAGAGAGTTCTTCTATTCTTTACAAACAGTCATGTTCTTTATTGTTATGTATTACGTGTGCTCTATTTTGTTAGATCCGTTTATTTACTGATAAGATCCTAGTTTTACTAAAACCAAAAATTTTAATGATTAAAAACAAATTAATTATTTGGCAGAAGAATGTATTTTTTCTATTAACTGTTAATAACTCTGTGGTGTAAATGGAAAAATGAAATTTATCTTGTGAAAACCTATAAAATGCATTGCAATCATATGCATATTTATGCACTCAGAAAAGGTCATTCGAATGTTCTTATCAAATGCGTTATTCATTCTAATCATTTATATTAAAATATATTAATTTGGCCAATAGCATTTATTTTTTCCTGTGCAGGAGTCACTCACCTGTTAGGGCTGCCAAATTCAGAATAAATCCAATTAGTCGCATTGCGAGGACCACAGCAATAATGAAATTCTATTATTACTATCAGAATATGTTTGTTTGAATTCCTGTGACCTGATTACACGCTTTAAAGTGCCAGTGGCGTGAATTATTTCATTTATCTAATATCAAATTGTGCCGCGAGAATTCCACTTCAATTGTTTTGACTTAGTTTAGCAGTTTCAAATATTTGTGATGAGCACGGCGATCCGGACGGAGCCGGAGTTTAAATTCCGGATTGCGGATTCGGATCCGAGCGCCAAAAGAGAGCTCACGACCCGCTTAACCGGCGAGAGCGAGATGGCGAGAGCGAGAGAAAGCCAGGAGAAAGGCTTTTCTCTGGGACACGAAGTAGTAGAACCAACGCGCACGAATTTTACTTTATCACTGAATTTGATTTTTTTTCGCATCTTCGGCATTTGCAACATTCTCGACCGGATACAATGTTGCTGCAATATGTCGCTGCAAGCAAGCCCAGCTCGAAAAAGCTCGAAGTGGTGAAAGCTCGATAAATAAACTTACTATACAACTTTGCTTATAACTGTTAGAGTTGTTATATTTTTTACAAATCTTGTAAATATAACAGTTCCATTTATAAAACCAAGTTTCGGGAATATGGAGAAATAAACTGGGACAATAGTTATAATTGTTATAAAGCAACTATAATTATGGGATCTTTTTATATTTACAATAAATAAAATGCATGTGTTAAAATGTATATTTTATTTTGTAATTTAATTTCTATGGAGTATAATTACGGAAAGACGGCGGACATTCGGACGGACAGACAGACATGGCTAGATCGACTCGCCTGTGATGCTCACGCTGATCATAGTATTAACATAAAATGTTTTAGACTTAACATAAATTTATTTCACTCCAAAACCTAAACCCATATTTTCGGTTAAAGCTTAGTTTTAAAATTTCATTTTAGGGTCACCCCATTTCTATAGCTTTGGTATTTTGTGGTATTTTTCCACAAATATAGTATGGTATTTTTCGTTACTGACTCATAATTTCGTTACACCTGCTCGCCGAAATCCAATGTTTTGATTCTGCAACAATGCCGGGAAAAAGGTAAATAACTGCTTAATTACTAACCAATATAATTTAAACAATGTGTATAAATGTATAGAACGAGGAGGAAACTGGTCAAGAAGCAGCAGAGGAAGCGGCGGCGCCAGAAACAAGCAAAAGAACGCGACAGATTGGAGGAGATGGAGGAAAGCCTGAGGCTTTTGCAGCCTGATTACCAGAAATGGCTGCAGAAACAGCAGGAAATGGAGGAGTTTCAGCGCCTGGTTGCCGAACGGGAGCACCAGGAAGCGAAGGAGTCCTGGCTGCGACGCGAGGCCATTGTCCAGCGACAGTTCCGAATGGACGAGGCCAAAAGACGGCAAGCGCAGGAAGAACTGGAGCGGCTGCAGCAGGAACAGGCCAAGGAGCGGGCGGAACGGGAGGAAATTAAAAGAAAGCAGCGCGAGGAGGAACTTCTAAAATCCGCCAAGGCTGCCGCCGAATTTGATGCCACAATGGAAAGTATGGCAGAGTACCTGAACAACCCACGAGTGGAGAAGCCTCCAAATCACCTGCTCCGCGTGATGGAAACCCATCCGGAGGAAAGACCCTGCGAATTCTTTACCCGTACCAACTGCTGTCGTTACGGTCTTACCTGCACCTTCAACCACCGACGACCCATGCTGGCGAGGATCCTCCTCATCCGGCACTTCTTCAACCACTCCATGCTGCAGGAACGACGGGCGCACGCAGAGTACGCCTCGGCGGAGGAACACTTGGAGCTGACCGAACAGGATCTGCGCAGCGATTACGATGAGTTTTTCGACGACGCCGTCGAGGAACTGGAAAAGTTTGGCACCATCGTTAACTTCCGAACTGTGCGCAATACGCTGGAACATCTGAGGGGAAATGTCTTTGTGGAATACACAAACGAACGGTTTGTCTGGGAACTTTATTTACAATTAGTTTTAAATTAATTATGCATTTTTATCTACAATTGTTTATATGCAAAAAACTCGTATTTTTTTACATGAAACCTAGTTTCCAGCATTTTTATGAGAAAGTAATTGCATATTTATTGTATTTTTGGTGCGAGTTGGAATTTTTTTTGTTAATTACATCACACATCTTATTTAATCACTCATGAACAATTGCATAAAAACTTAATTAAAACCGGAAAATTATTTTTATCAAATAGATCTCAACTAACACAAATCGAAATAATTTTTGCAGTCTTCAAAATTACGATATCTAATTTAATTACTGATCCTTTGATTTACCTCTTCATTTGTTTTCAGATCAGCTCTTCGCGCTTTTACCAGTCTCCAGGGTAGATTCTATGCATCCAAGCGCCTGAGCGTAGAGTTCTCCAACCTGAAAACCTGGCGTGGCGCAGTCTGCGGTACGTGAACTGCATGCCAAGAGAGCCGTATCCTTTGTCAAAAGAAAACTCACTCAGTTACCTAACCCATTATATTCATTATAATCATATTTTCTTTATCACAATCTGTGGCTTTTTAAAGGTTTGTCCTTAACACGTAAATGTCCCAAAGGTAACGGCTGCGGCTATCTGCACTTGTTTCGAAATCCGAACAACCTTTTCAACACGGAACTGGAGTACACAACGGGTTCAAGAAGTGAACGACAATCTACTCAAACTCCCTCGGCGAAAACGCCCAGGTATAATAAGTTATTTTTAGTCAAAACATGTTTATTAATTATACCTCTTTTCAGTTGGGATGACCAAAATGAGCATAGCAGAAACTGGCGGTGGTCAGAGAGCCCTGAAATGGAGCTGGAAAACTCCAAAGACCTGGGCAACAGCATTAAAAACTCTAGGAAAAGACAAGATCTCAGTGATTCCCATCAGTCGGAGTATAATTCCAGATCAAGAAGTGATAAATGGTCATCCCGATCGAATCGTGGTAAACGCTTTAAAAGAGATCACAGTTCCTCAGGATCATACCATGATAATCACAGATCAAGAAGTGGAAGCCATTCCAAATCCAATCATCACCATCAAAACCATTGTTAATAAAAGCCAAAGTATTCATTTAAATTTTTTATGGGATCTTTACAAAATTTTATTCAATCTCTTTGTGGGCAAAACATGAGTGTCTCAAACAAAATACTAGAGATTCCGAATTTCTTAATTGGATGAAAATCAGAGGGACAAAGATATCATAGCAATTTAAGATTGCTTATAAATAGTTTAAGTGCAGTCTGAAAACAACTCAATTGTTTACAACGGAATAGAATTCTACGCGTAAAATTGGCAGTTTTGAAACGAGAAAGGGAAAGTGAGACTGGGTGCTGGGGGGGAGCGGAGGGTTGATGACAGTATTATAGGTGGTAAGATCGGAAATTGTAAATTCTAAAGTCTATTTGTCTTGCTTTCTTCCGTTTTCGTCGTACACATACAAACAAAAATTATACAAAAACTCATTTAAGGAATATTATAATAAGTAGCTTTAAAATTAGGCAAACAGCGAACGCCCAGCGACCCGCTTTATAGACGGATACCGGGATTCGTGGCCGCCACATAGCGCAGCAGCTCCTCGTTGTCCTCGCAGATGACGGGCTTCTCGTGGTAGCAGGCCACGTCGTGCCAGGCGATGCCATCGTTGTACACGTTGTTCAGCACGGACAGGCACTGTTCCTTGGTCTGGTTGATGTCGTATTCGGCGTTATCTGGCTGCGGGCGCTTCTTGTGTCCAGTCTGCGACCACGGGTTGTAGCCCCATCCCTGTGGGATGCGGTTGGTGGCCTGGATCTTCTCGCGGGTTGCAGACCAGAACCATCCATAGACGGTCTTGGGCTCCAGATCCGGACGGTTCTCGCAGCCGGCAAAGTCACAAATACGGCCGGCCGTCCAGATGTACGGCACATCGTTCTGCTGGATCACGCGGAAGATCAGGTTGTTCTTCTCTTGGGTCTCCAGGGCGACCAGGTCCATGCAGTACTCGCGGCACAGATTGCGGCCATCCAGCCAGTCGACCTTCTTGTTGGCCAGGGCGGGCACGTGGGTGGTTAGGAACATGTTTTTGCCGCGGTAGGAGAACTCCTTGGGACCTGTGAGAGTCGAGAAAGAGAAAGTCGGTGAGTGGGGGAGTACTTTGGGACTGCACTGGCAAATAATATCGATACTAATGGCTTGGCTTTTGTTTTTATGCGAATACAAAGGCGGATTTCTAAGCTTCACATCTTAAAATCCTCTCAAAATAATGATTATATGCTTTAAAATGGTTTTTCACAATTTAAATTTTGAAATAAAAGCAAAATTATTTTACTCTTGAATTCTTCAAATACAAAAATAGTTTAAATGGGAAAACCAATATTAAAATAATTCTTTTACCCTAATAATAATTTACAAATACTTTGTCCCAAAGAAAATTCCTAATAAATGGTCAATGTTTGCGATAAATTTTTAGCAGTGTGGGTGTGGCCTGTGGCAACCGGTTTTCCGCGCGGCTGCATACTCATCTTCAGTTCGAGACCCAGTGCAATGTCTCGGAGCCTGCCCCATCATGGGCACACAACAAGAAAAAAGGCACAAGCGCAAACGAAACCGAAAGCAAGTAGCGCCAAAAATAAAAAAAAATCGTTGCCCCAGGCCTTACACAACTTCCCCGGTGGCGGCGGGTTACGCAATCTCCGCAATTTATGCAGCATGCTTCTTTTTGCGCCTGCCGCTTTCCTTTTGTCTTGGGTGTCAAAAGGTTTTCTGTTTTTTTTTTTTTTTGTACTTCGTCGGTTTGTTTGTCCGCCGAGGAACAATGGGAACCCCCGCCTAACAGCTCCATCCTCGAACTTGTTTCGCCTGAGCGAGCTGCCAGCTTCCAATTGATTAGCTGCCTCTTTGGAAGTCTTCGCAATGTGCGATATGTCCGCCCCCGGGCACGCCCCAAAAATAAGAAAAAAAATAAGTAAACAAAAACAAGCCTGTTGCCACAGCGGGCACGCGTCATTAGCCCCACTTCAAGCCACTTTTGCAACTGCCCCCTTGCTCCGCCTCCCAAATACTTCACGTCAAATCGGCTTAAATCCAACATAATGGCCTTATTTGCCATTGTTTGCACATTATTATTTATTTTGCTGCCGCTTTAGCACTGCCGCCTGTTGCAATTTCTCCACATTTCTGGCCCTTTTGTGCGCGGTTCAAGGCGATAATATAGCCACAGCTGGCTGAAACTCATCTTGGCTAGGCATTTTCCTAACCGAAACTTGCATAATAATCCCGACACCGCGACTGCGACTCCAGCTGCATTCCCCGTTTTGCGATTGGCATCTTTCAACAGTGACTTAGAAAAACCAAACCGTTTTCGAATGTTAATTATCGGGCGACTGCACGCCTGAGAGAGTTGTCTACAAAAGGTAATTAAGTCTGAATAGTTAATCAGGCGATTTAACTATTGGGAGACCTAAAAAAGTTGCGCTTGTATAACTGGAAATTTCTATGAGATGAAAGATCTAAATCGCTGCCAACGAAACGGCACTGGCTCAAAAATAAAAACTGGAAATGCAACTCGGTGACGCCCCGAAAATTAAGTTGCATGTTTAACGGCTGGGCTTAGTTTTAAAGTGTGTGTTGGCCATAAGTATGTGCGCCGGTGTGAGTTAGGGTTTGTCTAATTAGCAATAACTGCAAAGTGTTCATTAGTGTACCGGATATGCAGCGATGATGCTATTGTTCAGGCGTTTCACCCGTTTGGTCCCGAACTCTGGGCCCTGATGCAATCTTTATAATCTCAGGCGATGACTTGCAGCGGCAATCATCGCTAGAATAAGTTAGGAAAACCCACTTCAACTGAACTAGTTACTAGTTAACCCCTTTTAATTTCGCAATTAATAATTAATATCTAAGCAAAGCAGGGGAAATGAGTTCACTTTAACTACATTAAAATTATTACGGTGGGAAACACAAATTGTTTACGGATTTATCACATTTAATGATCTATAGTTTATTATTTTCGAAGATGTAAATTATTAATTTGTATTAAAAATTAATAAGCAATTAATTTATTATTTAGATTTATTGAATATATCCCAAAATTTAAAAAACATATTTAATGCCACTTATTCAAAGTGTTTTAAGACATTTGAAAAATGAGCAAGCCAGAAAAACAATAATTCCCTTACATATTTTTCAAAAGAAATAGGTTTTTTAAACTAAAAAAAACTTTGAAATATTTTCAATATAACATTTTTGTGTGGTAAAGGAATTTGTTTACGAAAAAGGCGGGCAAAGAAAGTGAGTTGAAACTAAAGCTTACAATCACGTCAGCGACCTTCAGCAAAAACCCCTGCCTGTTGTGGTTACACCCACACGTCGCATTGCCAAACGATTTCAAGTGCAAACTTGGCAACCGAAAGACGCATCAGCCGCTTAATATTCTCGCCGCGTTCGTCACTTTTACTTTTCGCCATTGTGGGAATGGATGGGTTAATGATTTGGTGGGCAGGCAATACTTACGGCTAGCGCACTTGGCGGGCACGGGCAGTGAGAGGAAGCGACCCGGCTTGGTCGCTGTGGTGGTGGTGGTTCTGGCCGCATGGCTGCAGGCCGCCACCACACAGAAAGTCGCTAACGCCAGTGTGACTTTCATCTGCAGGCCAAATATGAAAAAAAGACAGAAAAAGAAACAGGAGCGTGAGCATGGGCAAAACATTTGGTAAGACAAAATGCCATTCAATGTGCGATTTGGCAAGTCACAGGTACAGGTACAGCTACAGATAAAGATATGCAAATTGTTAACACGTTGTCATTAACATAAATTTGTACACGATTATCGGGCGATAAAGACGCCGCGCCCTTTTGTTCGCCACCTCAGACCATTGCGTATACGCAATTTCGTATAAATTTCCAACTCGCTGGCCGATCCGAAGATGTAAGCTGGTCCGGTGCGAGATCGAGATCGGTTTTTATGTCAAGGATGCGCAACCGGTTGCCCCCGGCGGCCACTGACACAGTGCCACAGTGACTACCAAACGCCAAAACCATCGGCGATCGACGATCCACGATCGACGACCGACGACGACACTTGAGACTTTATTATTTTCATTTTCATTTTTATTGTGGCGCAGCGCAGCACAGCAACGTGATCAGCATCAGCATCAGCACCGTCAGCACATCACATTATTCATAAATAAAAATGTATTTAGCATCTGCAGCAGCCGCAGCAAACATGTTGATTACACAAGCAGCGTTGCCTGACCTTAACTGGTTTTATTGACTTTTTATACCCTTGCAGAGGGTATTATAATTTTGGTCAGAAGTTTGTAACGCAGTGAAGGAGACGTTTCCGACCCCATAAAGTATATATATTCTTGATCAGGATCAATAGGGGAGTCGATATAGCCATGTCCGTCTGTCCGTCTGTCCGTCTGTCCGTCTGTCCGTCTGTCCGTCTGTCCGTCTGTTTCAATACCGTTTGCGAGCTCAGTTTAAAAGCTAGCGATCTGAAACTTTCACAATCGTCCTAAAACATATGTACGCAGATCAAGTTTGAAAATCGCCCCGATCGGACGTCTATATCCTATAGCTCCCATAGGAACAATTGGATATATCTTGCAAGAATTTATGATATTTCGCGCAGTGTAAAAGCTATTGACATTAATCTTTACAAATCGTATTTTTTTATGCATACCTTGATCAGGGTAAAAGCGCGTGGCGATCGGACGTCTATATCCTATAGCTCCCATAGGAACAATAGGGTAAAATCGGTTAAAATTTAATGATTTTTAGGATATTTCGCGCAGTTTAAAAGCTATTGACATAAATCTTTCCAAATCTTATTTTTTTATGCATACCTTGATCAGGGTAAAAGCGCGTGCCGATCGGACGTCTATATCCTATAGCTCCCATAGGAACAATAGGGTAAAATCGGTCCAAATTTGATGTTTTTCAGCATATTTCGCGCAGTGTAAAAGCTATTACCATAAATTTTTTCAAATCGTATTTTTTTAGGCATTCCTTCATCAAGGTAAAAGCTCGTGCTGATCGGACGTGTATATCCTATAGCTCCCATAGGAACAATAGGGTGAAATCGGTCA